TTCCAACCAGCAATTTGAGCGAAATTAAATGTTATAATAACAAGCATCTAATTTTTGAATCTCTACCCAAGTACAAGACTTGGACAAAGAGTAACCACCGAACAAGCAGACAATGTGACATGCCGAAAAGGTAGAAATGAAAGCTTCATCACTGTGATTGGCACGGATAAATTATCTCAAAAAAATGATTAACCTTACATCAAAAAAACAATGTTGAACATCGGTATTGTCAACTAAAACAGAAACAGAATCCATCAGAAAGCTTTCTCTAATCAAGTCCAAACCAAAATTTTGGAGTGCAAGGCCACTAAAAAGCAGTTCCATAAAAAGAGATATCTTAACTTTCACATCACACCATTCTAAGCCTCAGTTACTGGGTATTCGAAAACAACATCCTTGCCTGAAAGCTTCCTGTAAACTGCAGAAAAACTCTCAAGCTTGTACTCGGTATTGTTCCGTTCCTTAGGATCTAAGAAAACCTGAATGCAGATAATATAAAAAGTCAGTGAAGTATCATAGATAATACAGTAACAAAGAAAGCATATACGTATCATATCATATCAAGAGAGAACACAAGAACATAATATATCTTTTGCTTTTAAACGCTTCACCATTAACGATAGTAGTTTACCTTCATTATCTTGGAGCCATCTAGACGATATCTGATGCGCTTCCCAACAATCTCAGCAGGCAATACAACATCCTCAAGCATTGCCTCGTGGACAGTAGTGAGTGTACGGCTGCGGGGTCTTTGAGCTGCAGAGCCCTTCTTTGGGGGCCTCAAGATCCTCCTTGTGGCAATCAAGATAACATCCTATGACATTAGAGGCCATAAATATCAATGCCATGAAAACTTAGTTAGAAAAGAAAGACATTAAAGTATGCACATATGAATATCTACAAGTACAGTATGGTGTATCAAGAACTAGTCATTAATTACCATCTTCCCACAAAATAAAAAAAGGCTCTCTCCCATGTAGTTAACCCAAAATGTAATGCTTCATGTTAACGTGAGACATGCTCACTGGAGACCAGGAAATATCGCGATAAAGCAAAATTGTAAGAACCCAAACAAAAATACAAGCAAAAGTTGAAAGTTAGTCGAAATTTTTCTTAGGTTGCTAGGTAGAGAACTAAAAATGACAGTTGACAGATCAAATAACTCCGGTTGGACAATGGACCTGATTCAATGCTTCTAAAGCTGCCCACTACATAAATCAAACAAATTTCACTATAACCAAAGAACACAAAACATTAAATCACCTTGCCGCTAAACTTCTTCTCAAGCTCTCTCACGAGCCTAACATGGATCTTGCGGTAAGCTTTTCGCAGTCTGTACGGGACGTGAATGACAACAGCCTTCCGGCCACCAGAGACGTCAACTTGACTGCAAAAAAGATACAACTCAATTAGCAGGCAATAACTTATAACTCTATTTGTACATCCAATTCAGTCATCTAAACAACATTCTTACATGGCAGAATTTATGTACAGATCCTTCAGGTCACTTTTCAGCTCCTGGTTGGTGTTCTCCAAATCAAATATAGCCTTAATAAATAAATAAAACAAAAATCAGGGTCACATTAGAAAATTCACAACGATTGCACAAGACTAAGAATGCACATAAAAAAAACGACTTACACACCTGCGCTACCGACTCCTCGAACTCAGTCGGTTCAG